CCCGCACACACGCACACTGCACGCCGCACACCGCACACCGCACGGAACGACGCGGCGCAGCTTCCCTCTCAATGGCGGCCGCACTCCATGCATCAGCCGTGTTAGGCTCCGCAAACGCCAGATACTGGTTCAGGTGACCCGCCCACGCGGAAGCAGTGGTGTTGTTGACAGTTTTGTCAAGCTGCTGATGAAAACGTTCCAGAGAACGTTTTCTAAGTTACTCAAGGCTTGCTTCAAGTTAGAAGGCTTGCAGGCGGCCAGTCAGCCCTGTCAGCGTTTCAAGTCCACGGTATGTCTGGTGGGTGGCTCTGCAGGGGCTTCATTTCTTCTTGGCTCGGGAGTAGCTTCTGTCATTTATCAGCTGTTTGAAGTTTTTATCTTGACTTATCGAGGGACACGGCGGATTTCGTACCTGAATGGCATGTGAATGGCGAGTCATGTCTGAATGGCATGTCTGAGTGAATGGCATGTGCTGGTCAGTCAGGCCGCTCCACACGGCCAGGCGTTATATTCTCGCCAGGCGAGAGTGCGCAGGAGACATGTTTTTCTTATGAAATCTACGCAGACTTTAATCAATCACTCTTTAAACGAGCTGAAGGAACAGCAACTGTGCGGATAAGCCTCATCCAAGATCAGCGCCTATTCACGTGTTTAGTTGTCCGAGTTGATGAGGTTGTGTTGGCGGTCTGCATTGCAAACCCGCTTCCCCTCCGGCACACCCGGCACCCGCACTCCCTGACACCTTTATAACTAGGGTTACCAGCCACAGACCGACATACTCGTGTGCGAACTCGGTTCCAGTACCGCTGGTACTGTCATGGCACCATCTGTTGCTTCTGGAGATGAGGACTCGAACCCTCAGCGTTTGAATAGCTTGGAGTCGATTAATAATTTTGCCAACTCGGGAATCGCAAAAACGGGAATTGAAACAGTAAAAATAAGGATAAAAAACTTGAAAAATGTACCAAATCCTGAAGGCAAACCATTCACGGTGAGTGAAATGTCTAAAATATTGCTGGGATCGCATGTTCTTCTGAGTCGCCCACCTGTTTACTACATTGTATTCGCTCGGGATCCTGATATACAGACTCGAATCTACCCAGATGCGTTCGAAACTCGAATCCGAATTCGAATGGGGATTCACTTACCTGAAGATTCGAATCCAACTGCTAACGTCCTGAGGTCTAGTCGGCGTCTCGCGACCGAAATGCTGAACTTCCTGACCTTATCGCTGGAGACTGTACCGCGCCACTTCGTCACGACGTCGCCTAACCCGCAGTACATGCAAGCAGTGCGGCACAGCATACCGGGCTCAGCCACAATCCGGCACTGGCAGCAACTTGGACCCGTTCGTTTGTGGCTCGGACCCGCTGATATGAGAGGCTGAGGTGGGATGCTGCAGGCTTCTAGACCGGCACGAGCCATATGAGTGATATGGCGTGGACGAAGTTATTCATCTCGTGTCGGGACGTTTTTCACGATGAGCCTGCATCTTTTTCACTCTGGATCACATACGCGAGCATGCGTTAAGTACACGTTCATTTCCCGTTTGTTTTCATGTGTACGACAACGAGAGCAGTGTAGCGGTACGCAAATCTCTTACAAAGTAGAAAGGAGTGTATGCTTGAATGAGGGATCCGTCCCAATTCCAGGTGTGTGGAAAGTTTTCCCCTGTCAGCACGTTCATGAGTTGTACATACCGCAGCGCATAAAGACTGTAGCATTTCCTCAAATGTGGCTTTGAGATTAAAAGGAGCTTTCCACCTTTACATGGGATTTGAACTGAAATTGCCATATTGAAGATAACTCGATACAGTCTGCAACCCTGCTCTTCTTAAGGCCTAGTCCTCTCTGCTTTCTAACCTACGTGCCAGAGAAAATGCGCGGACTATTTCGTGCCGATTATTTCAAGGTTACCCCGGCATGCATCACACCATAACAACATTATTCAAATCCTGCCATTCCATTGGCCGTGCGGTAATCAAGACCAGAAACAAGTGTAATTGTCGAGTTGTTCATATCTGGCATTCGTGAGCACGATTTCCAGATATAACGGCCGTCGATTGGCTCTCAGTCAATGTTGTGCAAGGCACGATGACGCAATGATACAATGACTTATTAAGGAGTATATTTGCCAGATATAGAAATTATTTTTTTGAGCAGACTTTTCTCTTAAATGCATACCAATAGTTATAACTGAGTTTATTTCATTATACGTGGTGTTTGCATTGATATATTCAAGTGTGGAGCCATCCATTTTATATCCCAAACAAACGTGGATTATCTCACGATGCCAATGCATACGTACATAAAAACATACAGCCCACCCCACAGAGATCTGTTGGGAAAGGCCAGAGATCGAAAGATCAGGGTAGAGCGTCCAGCCCCTTCTCCTTACATCGCATCTAAAAAGCACGCGTCACCACCATTGCTCGCTATAAAAAGATGCCGGCTCAAATGTCCCGTGAGGAGTTGGTGGCGCGGCCTGGGTGACCTGGCCGTATTCCGACACACACTGCCGGGAGAGGCGTCCCTTACAACGGTGTAACCGCGCTGGGGGGCAGGGGGGGGGTTAAGATATGTTTTTGCGGAGAACATAACACTTTTCCAATCTTAAGAGTTTTATCGTATTTTTCATGGTTCTGATGACGTAATAACTGACCGAGACAGAAGTGTTGGAAAGTTCACTGAGAATTGCAAAGCTGATCTCATGAATGCGAAAAAAGGTGCGTAATGAACATGTACAAAAGAATCAGATTTGAAAATGTGTGCGGGAACTAATGAAAAACTGGGCACCCTCACCCTTCCGAGCAAACAGGTGCTCGTTCGAAAAACGAGCATCTGCTTGCACGTGGGTCCTGTGCGACAGGTTGGGAAAGCTCGGATATCTTGCCTTCATTGCAATAAACATCGAGACTCTCGTCGTGATTACCTGTTCAACGTTTCCATACTATTCGGTACAACTTCATAAGCAATGAATAAAGGTTAGCTTGATATTGCAATAAAATGCATGCTCATGTCGCTCTCAGAATTCTGGTAGAACTTGATGGCCAACTGCGCTTTTTTGGCATTACAACGATGCCTGGAGCTACATGTCATAGCACTATTACAAAATTCACACTAAAACGGTCCATAGATATGCATTCCTTGTGTTTCTTATTCCGACTGTTTCGACCAAAGTACGACCATGAGTTCAGCTGATTTAGTTTGAGTAGCACGTGTAAACGAAAAGAACCGGATATCTTCCTTCATTTTCCCTCCCTCCACCCGGACACCTCCGTGATCTCCCGCAGACCATGCCACAGAGGCCACACCAGAGCACCACCGCCAGCCGGCAGACGTCCTGTCACCCCGGCGCACCAGAGCACCACCGCCAGCCGGCAGACGTCCTGTCACCCCGGCGCACCAGAACACCACCGCCAGCCGGCAGACGTCCTGTCACTCCGGCGCACCAGAGCACCGCCATCAGTCGGCAGACGTCCTGTCAGCCCGGCGCACCAGAGCACGGCCAGACGTGGGTCCAGGGACGCGCCCGACCGTCCGTGGCCCAGGTCACTGGCGCTGATTCACTTATGTGAGCGTGACACCTGACATACTGGAGCCGGCCGCCGCCGACCCCGGGGAGCGGCCCTGGCTGCCGGCGCCGGCCGCCGGCGCCAGTCACGCCCCACACTCAGCGGAAGGCTGGCCTGTGGCGGACGCGAGCCGCAGTCGTGCGGCCTTGTTCCGGCGATCTCCTGGGACCACAGACAAACCTCGTTGTCATATGGGGGTTTGTCCGCTTCCGCGCTTCACCAATATCGTTAGTCTGACGTGTTTTCTCGGCTCCATATATGCACGCTGCTTCTGGCGCAAAAATATGGCGCTTGAACCTTCGTACCAGCTGACCTTTGATAACGGGTCGGTGTTGCGGGTCGAAATCGCCGCACTGTCTCCAATACGCAGACCGGGGCTGAAATCCTCGCGTGATCCTTGGTTTCTGGAGCTTTGTCGTCACTGGACACAGAACACGCATGTCTTGTGTAACTTTTTGATGATCGGTAACAACGTTTTTAGAAAATTCCTTATTTTATTCTATACCAAGTATAAAAAATGACGCTTTCTCTGGGAGCCGGAGAAAGATGGTTCAACTGAACCTTAGCTGTACTTACAAAACTTGCGTTCACTATCACATATGAGTGATCTGTCAAACACGGGCTTTATTACCTTGCAAACACGGTGTTAGTCAGCAGCGGCATACGACTCTGCGACGACTTGCCACTTGAACCTATTAGCGAACTATATCAGAAACCGGCTGGCTATGAAAGCAAAAGTTGATTCCAAAAGCGCAGCTTACGTCAATTGTCGCGCAGGGAGCATACCCGCCAGTGAGGATCGCGGCCTTTGTTGTCAGAGACCATAGCAGTGTCTAAGTGTAGGGTTACGAGCAGGCCACACGGTCCGTTTATGCTGCAGGGTGTCGGTGTCATCAGCTGCCCGCCAGCCTCTCTCCCGTCATCACCGTCCGGCGGCGTCTTGCTCACTTGGCATTCCGTGCGCCGTCGAGCTGATAATACCGCCACACCCGGGGCCGTGCCAGTCCGCCCTCTCGGATCGGGGCAGCCGCCGCCCTCGGCCGCCGGTCAGCTCTGGTCGCTGCTGCACCACCGTCCTCAGCCTGGCTGGACCGCCAAGTCAGGACGGGCCGCCGCCGGGCGCCCCTCCAGACCTGACGGCTTCTCCTCTCTCCCCGTCCGCCGGCGTTCTTTGTCCGCTGTCTGAGGCTGCGACGGCCGCCGCCCGCCGCACGCGTGGCGGCGGAACCGCCGGCGGCGGTCGTCCCAGCCGCTATTGATCGCCGGGCGCCGCCATGTTGGCGTTCTCTGCGCGCCGGGTGTCTGGACCAATCAGCGGGCGGCGTCTCCTGGCCGCGCGGCCCGAGGATGACCCCGCCGAGGAACGCTAATCTGATTGGTTCGCATTGCAACACTTGGGCGCCAGATTTGCGGCAATCGTCTCGCGACGCGGGCTGTCGGCCGCCGGGCGCGGGGCGTGCCGAGCGGCGCCACCAGTTTGGATCTATAAAACTCTATCTTTCGTTCTAACGTCATTAGTCACCATTGGCTGCTTCATCATATGTCGCGCGGCACCGGGCCGAGCCGCCCGCCTGCATTAATGCCGCAAACCTGATTTGTGGCCTGTATCGGCGGCGACGGCGGCCGGTTCGGAGGCGCAGCGGCGCCCGGCGGCCGCGACCCCATGGAGGGCTACCAGGTGCGGACGCCCGGCCTGGCCGACGACAGGGACAAGCGCAAGGTGGACGACTTCTCGGGCCTGTACGGCCTGGACAACACGCTCCGGCCGCACCCAGAGCACGCAGGTGAGACGCGCCCGCCGCGCTCGCGCCATTGCTATTGCACCGGTCGCTGCAGCGGCGTAACTCGATTCATTATTCTTGTTACCGAGTTACCTTAGTGAAACAATGCACTCTGAGGTGGCGGCCACGGCCAAACAGGTAATGCTATTGGCAGTGTTTGGTTACTTGCTAACGATATTCAATTATGAAGTGGAAGATTTGATCTGAAACGCGGGCAAACTTGATTACAATGTCAGAAATTTTAGCAACGAAGTTACTATAATGAATGAAATATTGGGCCAGACGAGTTCAAACCAGGTTTGCTGTGGTTGAAACTTGCGAGGGAGAAACTTTGAGATGAAATTACACGGATGTGTGGTGGATGTTGAAGCTTTGCTTTGCGAGAAATATGATCTTGTTGAGGCATTCTCGATGACGGCTTTATACCACGGCAATAAAATAATCTACGTAAAATGTATTTATTGAGCAGTTGTTTACAGCATAAAATTTGTGAGCTTCCGACATGTTCTAAAAAGCAAAAGGCGCCAGCGAACAATCCCGTTAACAAGGAAGCCACCATGATGAGACCGCCCATTGAGCGGATGTATATAAGCGTATCCTAATCACAGCAGTGCCGAATACATATTCCTTTATTTGTTGCACACAGCACGTTTTAGTTCTCCAGCCATGGATTCCACCGACCGCGCCTGAGATATCCCGACGCAGGTTAGAGGTCACAGGTCCTCCTCTTCCTCTGCCCTTTCATGCCCAGTTCGCACTCTGTTCGCATTTTCTGTAGGCACACAAACTTTAAAACGAATGTGAGCAGGATGGCGTCGCCCCACTGTGTCAACAGGCAGCCAAAACAGCATTTCTCCGCTTGCTATGCCCACCCCGCTCAGTTAGTTTCAGCTGCGTAAGAGCTGACATCGGGCCGGGGTATTCTTGCCGACGAGAATGTCTTGCCCAATCGGACGGTCACTGATGCTCGGAAAGCAATACGTCAGAGTGCTATGATTGTGGGATCCTGGAATCTTTAGGGGGAGGGGGAGGGGAGGCTTCAGGCACATGCCTGTGCCAGGCCATATAGGTGGCCGTAATTGTTATCCCGATCCGTCGGTTTTCGACGAACCTGTGGTCCAGCTATCCCTGCACTCATTCTCTACGTGTTCTATAACGCAGGCGATGCCTTGCGTTGTTAACAGCGATGGCTCGATGGTTGCCTGTTGCAGGAGGCGAGGGAGCGTTCAAGAAGCTGAAGACGGAGGGTGGCTCGGGCGGCGTGGCTGCCGGCCACAGCCCCACCACGTCCGCCTGCCCGACACCTGCCCGCAGGCGACACCGCACCACCTTCTCACAGGTCAGCGAGCTGGTCCGCGCCGCTCTCACCCCTGCGGGCGTGGCGGTAGGCAGAGGCCGTTTCGGCCGCCAGGGTGTGCAGTGAGGTGACGGCCGCGAGCTGAAGGACGCAGCTGCTCGACTTCCCCGGGTTCTCTCGATGATGTTTACTGGTATCCAGTGATGAAGAGACTTTCCTTGACTGGAGTGAGGTGTTATGCAGCCCGTGCTGCAGACAGGCGTGGGAAAATCATTTTTATATCCATGCAGCATTTGACGCAAAGTTATTTGGCTGGTGAAGATTATTCGCCATTCTGCGTGTGATTGATGTCAGGATATCGTACGAGTTCCGTCTGCTATTTCCACGAGCAGCCACAAGAAGGACCAGGTGAGGATCACGCTCTGAAGCAACAGAACATTGCTGTATCTTATTGCATACCAGCAACACAGCATTGGAGAGGTTTTGATTGCAGGGTTGCAAGATCTAGCTGACAATTTTTTGGGCGAGTATCTTGAGAGTGGGGACTGAATTGCAGATTTGAATGCATATGATTCCAAGGATTTAGCGAGCAAAACCAAACCGCAATCCTGGGTTTAGGAAACGTTCGTTACTTATATTTTCTTCCTCGAAAGCGTTAATCACGCACATCGTTTGCGTGGTTTAAGCTCCTGCACAGCTAGTAAAACCCCTCACGGACTAGATAGCTGAGTGCATTTAGGATTAAACCGACGGCTGGACTCAAATGAGTAGAGACATTTCCAAAACACATAGGTCAGGATTGCATCAGATCCGACATTTTGCCGGCCCAAATGGATTGAAATGACCTGACAGACAGAAGAAGAAGACGATATGGGCTAGTAAATGTCACAATATATGACAAGTACATATGGCGCGTAAAGTTAAGGTGAACTAAGCCGTCATCGACTGATGTTGAGTATTGAGTAAATTATATTTGCCTTGTATGGGTTAGACTGCATTGGATTTAGCTTTCTTCACGCGGGCGGATGCGGAGCGGGTTGGATGCAAGACTAATGTATTGCATTGGGCTCGATCCTAGAAGTTCAATCATTGAAGGCCTCTGGCGGATAGCCCCCCCCCCCCCCGGCCCGGACATGTGACCTAGTCTTCTGGCGCAAGACGCTTGGAATTTCACATCACGTGTGTGTAACAGTTCTAAACTTTTGAATTAATTCTAGTACTCATTTTTGTCTGGCTGGCTGCCGAGATCCGGCCTTGCATGGGCTTAATATGCATAACAGTTGTTGGGCCTACGCATTTCATGAACGTCTTCATAATTTACTCTTCCATCGCTTATGACATGAGCGCGCACTACAAAACAAGCAATTTCCGGAGAGGTACATTCTGAACTATGCAAGCTAAGTTTAGAAAGCTAATTGTCACATCGTCCAGAATGCTAAATCCCAGGCGTCCGAAATCACTACGTAATATATCCGATCAACAGATGGCGAGTTAAGATGGCATTGACAGTGGATGTAATTGTCGCAAATAAAAGAGAGATGTCTTCGATGACAGCGAAACAAAGCACAAAACCCACATGCTCATGGCTATCTCGTCTCCGCACAGAGGCAACAAAACTGCATTTCAACGAGTATGTTTTGGAAATGAGCCACAGGTGTCTGAACGTTGCATCATTTAGTATGACTTTCAAATCCAAAAGACGGTGTTGAAAACTAGCCGATGTTCATATGCGATGGCTTCAGCATCATCGGATCTGACCCAATCGAGCCTAGTGCAAAATTCGATTGTTTGAATGCCTACCTGAATTTGACTAAGTGAATCGACAAGCTCCGTTTATGTCTGTCTGAAACTGGATGGAAATGACAATGTTATACACTTGAGCACCCTTCTGTGGCTGTGCAGCACAATTGACCCCGAGGATCGCCTAGGAGGAAATCTCGTTGTGAAGGAGACGATGCTTCCTGCGCTGCTTTCCCGTACCGTAGAACGGAACGCCTAACACCATTCTCCGAACGTGCGTCTGACCGGCTGTCTGTGAGAATTTCGTTAGCCAGTCACAAAGGCCGCGTGGTTTGCCCTGAAAATTTCACATTTTATGGGTTAAGCGTTTGAAACATAAGATCACGCCTGTCCGGTACCGCTGTCGGTCACAGCGCAGCGCGAGAGGGGTGTGTGCTTTGACGCTTAGTGGTGCCACATTTTTCGTATACGTAGGAGAAACAAGTACTGCAAAGGTCAAGCCCCGGCAAAAACATAAAAGCTCGAGCAACGATGCGTATGGGTCTCCCACACGTAGAAGAATGCCGATTGACGCAGGTACCGCAACGTTGAACAAGCTGAGTAACAGTTACATCAGACAGCACTTTCAGCCCTATTCCTCGTTTTCCTATTTCTTTATTCGCCAGTTTTATGTTTTGAATTTACTGCTCATAATCATTTTGATGAAGGCACGTAGCCAAAAAAATTAACACATCTATCTCTCCTTTCTCCAGCTTATTTGGCAAGCAGTAAGACAAAAAAAAAAACTCTTTCTTATGTAATTGTGGAGTGCTTCTCAAAAATGCACTCAACAACTTACGCAAGCCACTTAACACATTAGGCATTACTGAGATGCGAGCCCCTATCATGTAGCAGGACGCGGTGCTGCCTCAACGACGACGACGACCCTTCGCATAACAAAGCAAACATGGACAGTAGCTTAATCATATCTATTCGATGTTCCGAGTGGGCGGAACAGTATTGCACTTGTAATAGGTGCAAGTGATCCATGAGTGCTGATTGGCCCACAAGTGTTAATCGGAGATGAAGCCAAGGCGGCCACGAGACAATTCCCTCCTGACCATTGAGGTCAACATTGAGGTCAACATTGGATGTTGGCAATTTCGCAGCAAGGCACACACAGTCACGTCCCAGGCAGGCACGTCCCAACACATATGCTGCATGTACAAGTAACATGCATTTGACATGCGCCATTCAAAGTACAGGAATAAGGTGTGCTACCAAACATAGAACACAATTACGCCATTTTGGAATCAGTACAGAATGCCGCGCCGTGCTTACTCCCTGAATATGGAGTTCAGCGTTCGGCCCCCATCGCGAAAAAAACTGCATCGAAAACGGGCATTTCTCTAACCTGCTCACCGACCGTGAACATGAATGCTCCCAGCTCAGCCATCCATGATGTTGGGAGCCCTACGTGTTAATGTACTTTTCACAATTCACACTTTTCTCATCTAACATTCAGTTGCCAATGCTTGTGAAAAACGGATAAACGAAAGGAGCAAGGCGTGCAATAAGGGCTGAACGGGTTATAGGTTAGCGCCGGTAGCTGTTGGTTTCGAATTTACTCAACCTCACGTTTGGCAACTAACAGACCGCTGGGACAATCACCTACGCCATTCAGAAACTGGCAACAAAACGGCATGACGGCTGTGGCGCCACGCCGAGACGATTGTGTAAGGCGCTCGGTACAGAGCACGATCCCAGTCTTGTGGCGTGCGTGCCGACATCTCCACCACCACGACGGCCGGAAACGCCTGCTGTTCTTCAGGGTGTCGGACCGGGTGGGTATAGTCTCTCCTGGTGTCTTGCCGCCTGTCGCTCGCGCTCTCGTGGTGCGGCGTGTCTCTCGCATACGGCATGCCGCTCCAATGAAAGCTACCCGTTGCGGCTGACGGGCAACAAGGGTTGTCATACTATTTCCTAACAGATGTACAAGTTGCCAGATTATGTATCATGGGCTACGATGCTGAAATGGCCGATCTTAGATGCACCAGGAGGTGATGGCCAAGCGAAGCTATCAAGCAAACAGTTCGGTGTATTACGAGAATACTGGACGTTTGAGGCAACGCTCACAGGCAGCGGTGTTAACTCACGTTCATGTTCATGTTCATATATTTCTTAACTTTCCACAAGATCCAGTGGCTTTTTTTAAAGTTACACGTCATCATTGATAAAAACGAACATAAAAGAGACAATGTGGACTCACCCCGAATAAGGGATTGGGGAGTCAATGAGACCCTACGATGTCGTGACATCCGTCCCATACCTTCAGGAGCCTCTTGGGAGCTCATTGCACGTGTTTTAACGCAAAAAGTGTCTAGCGTCTCTGGTTTCTGAGTCACTGAAAAATCGTTTCTAGGAAAATTGAACGGCAGATCTATTGCCGACGTGGACGGCGATCGACAGTGTGCTGTTTTGTTTAAAGTGCTCCACATCGATAAATGGTCTATGAGTGCAAAAGGTTAGCCTTCTGCAGGCAAACGTGACAATGCGGCTTGCTATGATATTGTCCCTGATCCAGACACGATAATCGCCACCCGTTTTTTCGAGGTGTGTCGAAATGATATCGAAATCTACTGTAAGGCTCGGGCTGTGGTCAACGCCGCCCGTAGCCTTCCACTGTCCAGCAATGTTTCATCATCCGGCCAAGTACTGTACTGCCTGTGCTGGCTGTTATGCTGGCTAAGCACTATGTCATCTTCAATATATATATATATATATATATATATATATATATATATATATATATATATATTTTCATACTTAGATAGACTTTGATATTATATAAAGATTACATGTAGATTACTCGTATACATAAATCATGCGTATAATAAGCCTTGTAAGAGGCAGCATGTTCGGCTCAGACCCCAGGTGCCGCATGAGGTTTCCACTCGCGTGATTCTTGAGAGATTTGTAACATTTTTGACCAGATGAGCCCATATCAGCGTAACGAGCGTAAGAGAACGTTATGAGAAGCCATATAAAAGTATTTATGGAGTCTGCGAGTGGTGGCCTGCGTGGGAGCATCATGACAAAGTAATCTATTCCAAAACACGCTGACTTGAGACTCACATAAATGCAAAAAAAACTTTATATGCCGAAAGGACGCGCCATACTTGGAATGCAAGCTTTCTTAGGGTGATTGCAGCCACCGACGTAGGATCAAGATTTTAAATATGGTGGCGCTGATTTGGCATATTTGGTGTTTTTTAAAAAAAAATCTATGTAAGTCTTAAGTCAGCTGCTACTGATAAACTGTG